CTTTCTGGATGCTCTTCCTTCAAGATAGATTTCCTTTTTCTTTGAATAGTCAATGGTATATTCAGTACTCTTCAGAATACCACAGTTCAAATCATTGATTCTTTTTCCATCTTCCTTACTCATTGTATAACTTTCAGGTGCATAGGAAACAATTGGAAATACCATGGTTTAGATATCTTTAAACTAACATCCTGGCTCTTTGGCACTGTGGTCAGGTCTTTGACAGCATGATTTCTCCACTGTAACACATCTTGATTCCTTGACTGCCACTAGTGTAGGTACTGAGTGTAAATCCAGGCAATACTGAGACATGTGTAAGTGTTTAAAGTGGATAGCTTTGATAGGCATGGTGTTATAAATGTACTAATTTTGCTAGACAGCACTTGTGTGTCTTTGGTGGCCTTTAATCTTATGACTTTTATCTCCCAGGACAAAAACCTGTTTCACATATTGTAATTGTCTGCTTTAGAACAAGGTTTTACCATCAATCTTAAAAATCTGAGCAGTATTTTCTAAAACCGTTATGATCAGCAGTAGCTTTATTTTTCTAGACTCTTTTCTAAACCAGTTCTATGATTCCTCTTTCCCCTGCAATATAGAAACTGATTGTGAACAATATTTTAGGGGTCAGAGTTAGACTTCATTGTTGCCTTCCACTTCCTTTTATTGGGAAATATTTGCCTACTTTCAGATTAAACTCTTATTTTTTTTTTAAACTCTTATTATTGATCTTGTTGTATACTGCTGAGTTGAAACTGACTCATAGCAGACCAGCCAGCAGGTTTTCAGAGGCAGTTTAATATCATGGGAGGAGACTGCCCAGCTTTCTTCCTCAGAGCAGCTAGTGGGTCCAAACAGTGTGCCCTTGGATGTCAGTGCATCTCCTTAACACTGGGCCACCAGAGCTGTAAACTGGTTGAATTCAACAGTTACATTCTATTTATATATAAGAGTGAATCTTCTGCTTTTAATTGAAAATCAGTTCTACTGAGTGTTGCCATTCCTAATCCTCGCTACATTAGTACACTTTGACTTTGGGGAAATAACTTGGTCTCTCTAAATTTTCTCGTCAATAAAATAAGTTCACACACTTAGGCTGTTTATCACTCAAAGTTCTTTGGTACTCAAATGAAATGATGAAACACCCTCCCCAGCCCAACAAAATGACCTTTAACTGCTATGCTCCATACACAGTGAGGTGCTGTCATTAGCCATCTTGTAAATCACAGGGATTCTCTGCTTTCTCTTGGATTGTTTCTCCTGGCTTCAGTGTCCACCAGAAAGAATTTTTTAATGAAACACTATAGATTTTGTTTGCTATTGATGCTTGAGTTCCAGGTTTTCAATCTGAGTTTATTAAGTTTTTTACTTGGAATTGGAAAAATTTGGCTCTTAAAGAGAGCTAATTCCAGTATGTATAAAATGATACATTTTATAATGAACAGACAAAAATTCTCACCACTGGACCAATCGGTAGCATCAGGATGGATGGTGAAGAGATTGAGATTGTTCACAGCTTCAGTTTGCTCGTCTCCACAGTCAACACTCTTGGCACCAGTAGCCAGGAAATAAAAAAAAAGTATTGCGATGGGAAAGTCTGTGGTTAGGGACCTCTCTAAAGTACTCAAGAGCAACGGTGTCTCTCTGTAGACTAAGGTGCGCCTGATACAGGCCATGGTCTTTGCAATCACTTGTTATGCTTCAGAGAGTTGGACAATGACTAGGGAGGATAGAAGGAGAATTGATGCCTTTGAGCTGTGGTGCTGGAGAAGAGTATTGAATGTACCATGAACTGCCAAGAAAACAGATTCATCCTAGAGAGGGTTAAACCAGGCTGCTCCTTGGAGGCAAGGATTCTGGGGCTTCGTCTGACATACTTTGGACATGTTGTAAGGAGAGACAGGTCTTTAGAGAGGGACATCTGCTGGGTAGAGTAGAGGGACAGCGCAGGAGGGGAAGACCCTCTATGAGGTGGATTGATTCAGTGACTGGGGTAATCGGGATGGGTGTGTCAGAGGCAAAGTGATTGGCACAGGATAGAGCACGGTTTAGGGCTGTTGTACATAGGGTCACTATGAGTCGCAAATGACTCGACGGCACATAACAACAACAACAACAACAAGATAACAGTGTAGTTTTCAGAGCTCTTTCTGTTACCAGATTCGGGTAATTCCTATTCCCAGTTCTGGTTGTTCCTTTCATATGTGCATATAACAGAATAGCTAGAATGTTAACTAAACACATGGATTTAAATGTCTGATTCCTTGGGATAGAGTCAGTCTGGTGTGACATGTGAAAAGTGACCTCAATATGCCTCTGTTTTCTCATCTGTAAAATGGAGATGATAATAATGCTGTGATGATTTTTAGTTGAGATAATATGTAAATGGCTTAGCCAAACACCTGGAACACAGTACTCAGAATCTTTTTTATATTATGTAATTATCAATAATGATTTTTGAAAATTTATTCAGCCTCATTTCTTTTTTTTTAAATAATTTTAATGAACATTTACAGAGAATTTAGATTTCCATTCATTCATTGCTGCACTTCTCTACCCGCCCAGCCCTCTCCTCCCACCCCCTCAGTTCGCTCCTCTCTTTCAAAACTAAAAGACTCCCTCCCTGGTACACAATCCCCCACACACCCCTCCCACCGCCCCAAGTACATTCCGCTATGCAACTTTAATTGTGGACTCTTGTGAGCCTCATTTCTTTTAAAGTCACATTTTAGTGAATTTTTATATCCTTCCTATGTCCATTTCTTACAGTCTATATTCAGAATATGAGTTTAAATTTTGTGAAATACTTGAATCACACTCTCATTATTTCTCCCATGTGAGGAATATATATAACATAAATTTCATCATTTTGAGCCATTTTCATGTGTACAATTTGAAGATATTACTTAATGGTGCAGCCAACAGTGCATGTGTTTCCAGAACTTCCTCATCAGGCCTCCGTAGAGCTAGGTCCCTGGTGTGTGGTGTGTGCACGTGACCACTAACCTAGCACCAGGCCTACCTATCAGCACTGTAGAAGAAAACCCTGGCGTCCATTTCCAGAATAAAGTTTTAGACTATTTAATTGGCATAGTTAAACTAAATAGAAATCATTGTGCCAGATACAGTATTTATCCTAATGACAGTCCTCAGAACAGAGCAAGGAAACACTGCATTGTTCAAAATCAGGAAAGATGTACATAAGGGATGTGTCCTGTCTCCATACCTTTTCAACCTGTTATGCAATGATGTGACTCAAGAGGGTAAGGTCTGCCTGATCCAGTCCATGGTCTTCACAATTACTTGCTATGCATCAGAGAATTGGACAGTGGCTAAGGATGACAGAAGAAGAATTGATGCCTTTGAGCTGTGGTGCTGGAAAAGAGCCTTAAACATACCATGGACCACCAAGAAAACAAATAGGTCTGTCCTGCAAAGGGTGAAACCAGCCTTCAATATGGATTGAAGCTCAACATCAAGAAAAAAAAGATTCTTAACACTGGCCGATTGGCAGCATCATGATAGATGGTGAAGAGATTGAGATTGTTAACAGTTTTCATTTGCTTGGCTCCACAATTAACACTCTTGGCACCAGGAGCCAAGAAATTAAAAAAGACATTGCACTGGGGAAGTCTGCTGTCAGAGACCTCTCCAAAGTACTGAAGAACAACGATGTCAGTCTGGAGACTAAGTTGTGCCTGATACAGGCCATGGTCTTTGCAATTACTTGCTATGCATCAGAGAGCTAGACAATGACTAGGGGTGATAGGAGTATTGATGCCTTTGAGCTGTTGTGCTGGAGAAGAGTGTTGAATATACCATGGACTTCTAGGAGAACAAACAGGTTTGTCTTAGAGAGGGTGAAACCAGGCTGCTCCTTAGAGGCAAGGATTCTGAAGCTTTGTGTGACATATTTTGGACATGTTGCAAGGCAGGACCAGTCCTTGGAGAAGGACATCATGCTTGGGAGGATGGAGGGACAGTGCAAAAGAGGAAGACCCTCGAGATGGATTGATTCAGTAACTGGGGTAATGAGGGAGGCTTGTCAGAGACAATAAGTTAGCACAGGATACAGGGTTTAGGGCAGGGTTTAGGGCTGTTGTACGTAGGGTCACTGTGAGTCACAGGTGTCAATACTTAACAAAAACAGTGAAGCTCAGAGAATTTATGAAATTTAGCAACAGAGTATAAGCATCTGGGAGGCAGTATTTATTTTTTTCACTTTGTTTACAATCATATGCCCAGTGCTTAAAACAGCTCCTGGAAAACAGTGGTCAGTGGGAGCTTGTCTAATAGAAACGCATTCTGTAAACACGAAGCTTTTTTTTCACAGCTGAATCGATACCACCATTCAGTACTTTTAATCTGTGTATCACTCACTGCCATCAAGTTGATTCCAATTCATAGTATCCCTCCATGGCGTTTTCAAGGCTGTAAATCTTAGTGGGAAAGTTTGCTTCTTGACCTCAGAGCCACTGGTGGATCTGAACTGCCGGAGAGGTGTCACTTTTGCATCAGCTATGCAACTTTCTCTACCACCAGCGCTCCCTCATAGTTTATTCTAAGATACGTTAGGGAACTGTTCTGTTAAAACAATTCCTTTTGTAAAGGAGAAAATGTCCATTAATTATGTTTTTGGTTTGTTTTTATTTTCTTTTCCATTGTTAATGGTAGTTTTCTTTTTACTAGAATGGGATTTTCAAATTCATGGTTTACTTAAAAACAGGGTATACTTACAAGTGATTACTAAGGTCATTTCTGAACTTGCTCTTTTCTGGATTAAGTTACAGTGATACAAGCTGTAATTTGAGTCTTCCTGCACCAAATATCAAGTTGTTTCTTTTCTCAAAGAGAAAACAAACTTTGGTCTTTCATCGGGACTGTCATCTGTACTCAGTGGAGGGATTGTTAAAGATAACACTGACTAGGTCTCGTGCTAACTGTAATTTCTGTGTGTCTGAAATCTGATGTGACTTTACCACTCGTCTTCTGTGTCACAGCTGGTGGACAGTGAGGTGGTTATGCTTTCCGCACACTGGGAGAAAAAGACAACCAGCCTGAGAGAGTTACAGGACCAACTCCAGCAGCTTCCTGGTTTAATAGCGGACTTAGAATCTGTGACTGCAAATCTCAGTAAGTGTGATGTCTGTATCTGTGTGTTGTTTTTAGAACTGAAGATAATTCAACTTGGACTTGGGTACTTGGTAGAATGTCAAGCTATAAGAGTAGGAAAATTCTTGGTAGGTGAATAGAAATTTTTGGAAGATGTTTCTAATTTCATTTTTTCTTATTAAGCAAAAGTTAGACTGATAAGGATTTAAAGTAGAAATGATTTCTAAAATATATCAATAACCGTTCCTGCCTCAGTTTGACTTAATTACCATTTTGTTGATTTCTTGAAGGAACTTGGTGTTCTCTGTAGGACATTATCTCTCTTTGTTTGAAAATTTGATTGTGGAGTATACAGGAGACTGGGCTGACTTTGTTCTGAATTTGTTCTTACTTTTCCTTGTTGCTTTTAAAATTCATTGTCTGTTTCAAGTCTTGTAATATATTACTCTATCAACAAACTCCTGAGAACAGATGAACAAAGTTAATTTAAATGAAGGGCCCATTTCAGTTAAATTTATACCTTGTGGAAGTATTTTTTTAATTTATATATTTTTATATGGGTGGGTTATGTGTTATATGTTATATTTTTTATTTCTTGGGCTTATGTTCAGAAATGATCTTTTCTGTTTGACACTGCTACATAACAGGGTAATATTGGGGCAGACTTGGTATGAGCCAGAATTGACTTAAGAACAACAGTTTTCTTTATTTGATGTTTATTTTAAATAACCAAACTTAAGATATTAGTGAAGCAGGAGGTAAGAGCTATCTACCCATAGGTAAACTCTCCTTGAGCTAAAAATCTGATCCAGAGTTAGAGGAGAGATGCTAACATAGCCTCTTTCCGTTTGTCAGTATACTTTACTTAAAAACCAACCAAAAGTTGGTGGAGAAGGTAGTGAGCAAGTTATGGGCTAGTTTTTTTGTGAGTGAATAAAAGACTTAGGTGGCATTTGGAATGTCTCTGTGTGGTATAAGTGGTTAAGTATTCTTTTCCTAACTAGAAAGTCTGTGGCTTGAACACATGCAGAGGCTCCGTAGAAGATTTGGCGACCCTTTTCCATCAGATCACAGTTTGGAAGCCCCACAAAACCCACTTACACTCTGTAACACATGGAGTTTCTGAAAGCTGGAATCTGGTCAATGGCACCTGATCTGGATTTGTGGGTTTTTTTTGTTGAGCGTCAACTATACAGTCACAACAGGAAGTGTGAGGATGGCTCAGGACAGGACAGGGTTCAAATCTGTTGTTCATAGATCTGCATGGGTTGTACTTCTCCTTGATGGCACCTAAAAACAACACTATATAACTAAGTCCTTGGCTATTAACTGAAAGATTGGTAGTTTGCAGTAACCTGAAGGCATTCTGGTGGTCTAGCAGGTAGAGTGCTGTACTGCCAACCCAAAGGTGGGTGGTTCAGATCTTTCAGCTGCTGTGTGAGAGAAAGATGAGCAGTCTCTTCCTCCTTGACTTATAGCCACTGAAATCCCACCGGAAGGTCAGCTGTTAGTTGATTCTAACTCAAAAGCAGTGAGTTGAATTGTAGAAACACTTTGGAAGAAATGGCTTGAGGACCCTGTAGGGTGCAGTTCTACAGTACATAGGGCTGCCAGGGATCAGAACCCGCTTAGTGACAATAATTGGTTTTTGTACTATTTCATTTATTGTTAGATGCTGTGCAGTCATTATTATTAATTCTCACAATGCCCCTAAAAAAAAAAAAGCTTATATTATCCCTTTACAAGTAAAATGACTGAGGGAGCTCTGGTGGCCTAGGGGAAAGAAGCTGCACTGCAATCCCAGAGGTATGTGGTTCAAATATACCAAATGCTCTGCTGGAGAAGGAGGGGCAATCTCCTCCTGTACCAGTCAGATCTGATTTGATGGTATACCCCACCCCCACACACTAAATAAATAAATAAAAAATAATAAAATTACTGAGGCTTGGAAAGAATGTGATTTGTTCTGGGTAATTGTTGTTAGGTGCCATCAAGTTGCCTGTGACTCATAGTGACCCTTTGAACAATAGCTCTATCCTGAGTCAGTCTCACTGTCTCTGACGCACCTACTCCCATTATCTCAATTACTGTATAAATCCATCCCATGCAGGGTCATCTTCTATTGCACTGTCCCTTTACTCTTCCAAAAATGATGTCCCTCTCCAAGTACTGGTCCATTCTGGCCACATGCCCAAAGTATGTGAGATACAGATTCAAAATCCTTGCCTCCAAGGAGCAGCTTGGTGTGAAACCTCTCCAGTACAGACCTTTTTGTTCTCTTGGCAGTCCATGGATTTAAGCTGTAGTTGAGGGAATGATCTTCTCTGTGAATGATGGGCCAAGTAGGGTGGCAGCTCTCAGTAGGCCTTGGGGACACATCTTGCATGGGCTGTTTTCTTCATGTGCCTTAGTGACTTTGAGCTCGTTCTGCCCAGTTCAATTATGGCTAACCACCAGAGTAGATTCATATTTTTAACAGAAATGTGGATGAGCAGGAAAGATAGCTGCATAGCAACCCGATCTGTTGATCAGAGTCAGAAACAACAGCACTAAGAGAGGACATCTGACCACAGGGCTCAGAGTGGGGGTTGTGCTCCACCTCCTGCAATCATCCCGTCCCTTGCAGCAAGCTCCTGAGAGGGCTCGCTATGCCTCTTCCCACTTCTGTTCCAAAATTTGGGTCTGTTCTCATTTCATTTTGCCAGTTATTTTTGAAATAATTCAAAACAGTTTAAAGCCCTGTGTCTTGTCTTGAGACGTTTGTTTTGTTAATTTCCAAAGGTAGGACATGGAAAAATATTCTAGAGCTTATAAAAATATCTCAGAGCTGTAAAATAACTGTGGTTACTCTGCATTATTTCTCTGTTGCTGAGTATAGGAATATTTCTTCTCCAGCTGTGGGTAACTAATAGAAATAACCCCCAAGATACTTGGAATTTTCTTCTGGCCACATTCTTTTAGCTTGCCATCCTGGATACTTTTAGAGTATAGAGTTGCTTACTTTCCCCCAGATATGTGTTTCTTTCTTTGCAAAAGCTAGATTCATTCCAACCATACCTTCCCTATTTTGTTTGGATATAACTTGTTTATAGTTGTTGTTTGTTTGCTGTTGTTAAGCGCCTTTAAGTCCACTCTGACTCATAGAAACCCTGCACTGCAACAGATGGAAACCTTGCCTGATCGTGTGCAGTCTCTGCCAGGTAGAAACCCACTGTTGTAGTCAGTATGTCTGTTCATCTCTTTGAGGGTCATCTTCTCTTTCATTAGCTCTGTGCCTTTCCAAACATGATGTCATTTTCAAACAACATAGTCAAAGTATGAGAGACCAAGTCTCACCATCTTTCTTTCTAGGGAGCATCCTGGCTGAGCTTTTTCTAAGACAGATTTGTTTGTTCTTTTGGCAGTTAATGGCATAGTCAGTAAAGTTATTTTATTTTCTTTATATTCAGTATATCAACTTTCACATGCATATGAGGAAATTGAAAATAGCATGACTTAGGTCAGCCAGGCCTTAGTCTTTAAAGAGAATCTTTGATCTTTAGAAAGCATTTCTACAAGTCCTTGACAGCAGATTAGTCCAATGCAGTGTGCCTTTTGATTTTGTGACTGCTGGTCAACACAGGTGTTGATTGTGAATCCAAGTAAAATGAACTTATTGACATGATCCACTTGTGAGGATTTTTGTTTTCTTTAGGTTGAGGTATAATCAGTACCTCGAATCCATTGAAGGTTATAATCAATCTTTTATTTTTGAGATTACTTTCAGCAAGCCAAGTTGTATCACCTACATAGCAGATGCTTGATGAATCTTCACCAATCCTGATGCCACATTCTTTTTCATATAGTCCACCTTCTTGGATTATTTATTCCTCCAATAGTCATACAAATCGAATAGATATGGAGAAAGTATATAACTCTGGCTCTTCATTTTAAACCATGAAGTGTCCCCTTGCTGTGTTCCGACAACAGCTTCTTGGTCTAGGTAGAGGCTTTGTGTGAGCACAATTTAAGTCTTCTGGAATTTCCATTCTTCCCTAATATATGGCTAACACAGTTGAATGCCTTTGCATAGTTAATAAAGCACAAATAAACATCTTTCTAGTGTTGTCTATTTTTAGCCAACATCCTTCTGACATCAGCAGTGATACCTCTTATTCCACTATCTCTTCTAAATACAGCTTGAATTTCTGGCAGTTCCTTGTTAATGTACTGCTATGTTTTAATAATCTCTAGCAAGATTTTCTCAGTATGCAGTATTGTTCTATCACTTTTCTTTTTTTAATGGGAACAATGTCTTCCTGTTGGTTGGCTGGTTAGCTGTCATCCAAATTTCTTGTCATAGACTAATGAGCACATACTTCACTGCATCTCTTTGTTAAATCATTTACACTGATGTTCTTTCAACTCCTGAAGTCTTATTTTTTTGCCAGTGCCTCCAGTGCAACTTGGTTCTCATTCAGTGCCATTGTTTCTTGATCATGTTCCTTCTTGAAATGGTCTCACATCAAGCAATTTTTTTTAATTCAGTGGCTCTGTGTATTCTTTCTGTGTTCTTTTTGATGCTTCCTGCATTAACCAATATTTTGCCCATAGAATCCCTCAGTATTGCAACTTAGGACTTGAGTTTTAAATACTGAAATAAAAGGGAAAAATTACATAGAAACTAACAAACCAAACAAACAAATCTAACCCCATTGCCAGCAAATTGATCCTAACTCATGTCACATAGAACAACCCTGTAGGGTTTTCTTGCTATAATCTTTCTTCCTTTTGTACCACCAAGGACCTGCTTTACTTAGGAGATACCTCTAATATCTAGATTGTTAGGTGTTTGATATGTTGTCAATCTGAATTACGTGTTGTTAATTGTTATGTGCCATTTAATCACTATGACTCGTTGTTGTTGTTCTTGTTATGTGCCATCGAGTCGTTTGTGACTCATAGCGACCCTATGTACAACAGCCCTAAACCCTGCTCTATCCTGTGCCAATCACTTTGCCTCTGACACACCCATCCCGATT